TTTAAATATGACTTGTATACAGTACATTTACAATGAACAAAATATCCAGGTTCAAGCATAAAATATGATGGTTTTGAGATATACAAAAAATTAGAAATAATTCTTTCTGTGTAGATAATATCCACTAAGTTGAACATTTATCGAGATAATAAGGTGATAAAAAAGAATTTGTCCTCATATAAAGGTAAAATTTTAGATCTTCAACATGAGTAATCTGCATAAATTATGACAAAGTCAAAATCTGGCCACAAATAACATGTGCAAATTGTGCGATGTAACAGTTAGCACATATATATATATATATAATTATGTTTTCCTAAGTACAAGATAATTATGTTAACATACTATAGGCGATAAAAAAGAATATGTATGCCAAAAATTTGCATACGCTCATGTAAATAATGCAGTTTCGCCCTTAAGAATGAGCAAACTTCTAAATTCATGACAAAACGTCATAACCTTGCCACAAATAAAGTGTGCAAATTGTGCGTTAGCATATATATATATAATTATATTTTCTTAAGCTATGTATAATTGAACTTTGTGGTAGCTTTAAGTGCAAATGTGAAATAGCAACAATGTTGCGTTTTACTGGCCGAACAAACGTTTTCCAAGCAATTAGTCGCCCCACGTTTTAGTTTCCGGATTGTTAATTTCAGATTGGAGCAATCAGTTGAGTGGGGGGCCAAGCAGTCGACCATTAGTTTGAAATACGGAAAATAGCATCATAGTAAAAAAAACTAATCTTACGTTTGTTGATGCGAAGATCCAATTAATAAACACTTATACACCAGATATGAATGAACACGTCTGTTTCTCTGCAAGTATTATCCGGACATCAGAAGGGTGTATTTGCGGAGCTGGAAGTCACTTCCGACGCACGAGACATTCCTTGTTCGAGATCGAAGTTACGTCTGGGAGCAGCGCGAGTTGCACAAAGCTGAGCCCTCATGGCACATCACCGATCCTGCGCTGTCGCCGCAGGCCATGGACATTAACGGCACCCCTGCAACTCCGCATCAAGGTCGATCCATAAACATCTTCCGCGCCCCTGATTGTGCCGAAAATGTAACCCCTCTCGCACGGATACATCCATTGTTGGCTTCATTTCACGGCAATATCGACAAAAATAATGTTCCTTGTTTCGAAGATTCTCAGGTGTCCCAGTTTCAATTCTAAATATTAAAATAATCATTATAAAACAATTTTGTCTTAGTAACAAAAATAAGTACAAACTTACATAATCAGGTAAATAGGAATATCTTCAATATATTGGAAACAGATGTAGTTAACACTTTGCTGGAGTGCAGTTATGTTGCAAGTAACTTAATGTATTATATTCTATAATTTTGACATCACTCAACGGAAATTACGTTTTGGAAAGCAGCAATTACAGAAATCCCTCCTTTCTTAGGAATTGAAGAAAATAAATCCATATTATCTGAATAATTATAGAAAGTATTATAAGCATCTCTGAATCATTATGCGAACAAACTAAATACTCACACCTTCATAAACAGTTGGTATATTACAATTTATCTTCAAAAGGTTGTAGTCATTTCCAACATTATGTGCTATAACAAAGAAAAAACGTTCATTACTTGAATTGTTATTTAATTTGGTTGCTTTTAATTGAATAATTTCTAAAAAAAATACTTCATTGTGTTCCTAATATCATATATGGATTTTCGAAATAATTTTCTTTTTAAATTATTACCAAATAACAATGTTGTAAGTAAATGATACATCCTATTAGATTTTGTAGTACAACCCTCAATATTGGCTAATATTTACATCATTTTCACATTTGCAAGTGATATAATAAATGAAATATATTAAAGTTGGATTGTATTTAAAAGCTTTCCATTCAGTCAATTAAACATACAATTGAAAAAATACAATAAGTAATTTGGCCTTAATTGTGAACATCCATTCTAAACATGAATACATTTTCTCACATAAAAGGAATAAAACTTACAGTTTTCATGACTACATATGTTACAATATGGCATAGAATTGACGTCCTATTCCATTGGCGTCCTGTCCCATTGGCACATCCCATTCAGCTCCATGTCATATGTCCGTCCTTCGAAGTCAACCTGAATGTGATTAAAGCAAATAAAAATCTGACACTGAAAATCTTATTGACTAGACGCATTATTCATGATAAATCTAAAGAATATTTTGTGCAAAGCTCTCATCGACTTTGTTACATGATTTACTATAATGCATACCGATCTATCAATTATTATATTGCAATGGTGTTGAAAATGGTTTTCAACAGGAACTGGTTTGACTCCTAAGATGTTGATGCAGTCTTAAGATTTTTGTAAAAATAGCTTGCTATGATGTATTATGGGCAACTCTATGGCCATAACATACCATTTGTACAAGATATTTATATCACTTTTGTTTAACTTAACCCTTCTAGGACGTGCGACGTATTTTTACATTTCAACAAATTTGTTTTGTTGGAACCGCGTACTTTTACTATTCTAATACAATTAGTTTCAAACGATAGTCCCGAATATAATCTCCACGCTGTCTTAGAAGGGTTAAAAATACAAGTATTCACTGAGAACAACTCCTCACACAAGTTTCACCAATTCACAGCCATTTCCTAAAATGGAGGCCAAGGGGAATCCCCTAGCAACTGGTGGTAAACCTCATTACTACAATAGTTAATAACTCAAGCTTACAAAAGATGGCGTAAAACGCAAGAAGATAAATGTACATTAAAATATGAGAATTTACTTCGACATCAAATTGGATTTCCAATATATAGTTTTTACAGAATACTGTTTGCACAGAAAAACAGTTTGCAAAGAACTACTTTTACAACATAACTATTTTTGTTGACTCATAAGTTCTACAAATAAATCAAGGTAACCTATCTATATCATTGAAATATTATCAATTTTTGGGTTTCCAAGTGAAGCAACAGAGGAAGTCAGTAATTCTGATATAGAGTATGCACCATACTTGTACTGTGAATAATATACAATTCCATAATGAGACAAAAGTAGATATGGATGCACTCGATCAAAATGTGCCAATAGCTTTGATTGATTGCATATTAATTGTGCTCTCTGGTGTTAACAGTAGAGTTGGATATGAATCCTCACCATTGAGAAAAAAAAATTTTAGGTATTCTTTGATAAAACAAGAAATGTACTTTACTCATGTTTTTGTCAAAACTAATAAAAATATCTCATTATGTATATAAATTGAAATGTATGTAAAGTAATATATTTTGCGTTAATTGTGAAAGACCTTCCTAAACATGTAGAAATTTTCTCCCAGAAATAGAAAAATACTTACAGCTTTCATGAATATATTACAATATGGCAAAGAATTGGCGTCTTTAGAAGTAAAATTGGCTCCTGTCCCATTGACACATCCCATTCAGCTCCATGTCATAGGTCCATCCTTCGAAGTCAACCTGAAATGTGAATAAAGCAAATAAAAATCTGACACTGAAA